GGACTTGCTCACCCCCTGAGAGCATGGAGCTGTCCCACACCACGCCAGAGCTCTTTAATAGACCTGCGCCGGGTCCTGTCAGCACCCCGTCACCGCCCTGCCCCTCGGAGCAATGCTGATGCCCTCCAGAGCAGACCAGCAGGCCCTGCACGGGTCCTTACCGAAAAGCTGGTGGCGCAGCACTTCATTTTCATGGAGAGGGTGAGGGAGGAGAGGGTTGGGGATGGTTCCAGCTGGGTACGGTATCCGGGTGAGGTGTGATCCCGAGGCGAGTGGGTCGATAAGAGGGTGAACAGAGGCTGAGGCTGACAAGAAAAAGAGATCACAAGGTAACTGTCCCATGCTTTGCAAGAGGAGACACGGAGAAAGGCGCAAGGCACAACAAAACGGACACGGAGAAGGTCGGGGTGTGTTAGAGACGGAATGATCTCAAGGCCAGACAACGCAGCACCCTTCACTTCCAAGTGTCACCCTCTCCACCTGCGCTGACCTGCATAGGGACCAGCCTGGCACAGCTCTGTCCCTGCCCTCCTCGGGGAGAAGCACTGCTCCTCAGAGTCGCTTCTGCACAGACCTGCTCTGCAATCACGTCTGCACCCAGTACCGCGCCTGCCTGCCACCCCGGCTGTCACTCCCATGCATGCTCCCGTCGGGTGCTTCCATTTCCAGGTCTCAGCCAGCACAGACGCTCAGTGCCAGGCACTCAAGTTTGCAAGTGCTATCTAAGGCCGAAATGCAAGATGCTATTTCCAGGAAAGCTGCTCTTTCCAGCATTTTGGGTTCACCGCCAGAGTGCTGGCTGCAGGTGCCCAGCTACTAAGCATGGGGGGAACGGACACCGATTTCTACCTGACGCCATCCCTGAGGAGCTGGGGTTGCTCAGACTGGGTGTCCGTCTGTGACTCTGCCACCAGATCCCACTGACCGCTCACAGTACCTGAGCAGGCACAGCACTTTTTCCTACTGTATCGTAGCTTGGGCTTTGCTTCCCCGAGGTTTTAATCCCTAAACTTCTTTTTACATTGCTTTCCTGTAGGACATAGAAATGGAAGTGACCACCACTCAATTCTGAAGGACAGCAGCCTCCAGTTCCTTACAATTCGCCCATCTTCTCTCCCATCCCATCCCACCATCCACAGTAAGAGCCACAGGAGCAAACCAGAGAGCCAACACTTCGTTAGCCTCAAGGAAACTGTTAAAAACTGTTGTCAGCAGAGCTCCCGCTTCCCCTGCAGACCACAGGGTGAGGGATGCAGTCCACAGCACCACCACCCTGGCAGCCAGTGGGACCCCAGCACTCGTATTGCGACCCCAGAGATGCAGAACTGAAGGACGTGGTGCCACCAACTCTGCTCGCCACTAAGCAGCAAAATCGCAGACACCCCAATGCTTGCAACAGATGTCGGTGCCTTTGGTGGGACTGGAGCAAGGGCAAGGCTGAACGACCATGACGTTGACCTTTTCTGGTCAACACGTGATCAGGGAGGATCTGGGACCACAAAATCTGGTCTTGGCAGCTTTTGGGCTTCCCCAGGGCCAGGGGGAGGGAGCGCAAGGAGGGCTCAGCAGGATGGAGCGCAGGGCTTTGTAGAGGGCACCACCACCACGGCATCCTTACCTGCATGTATGGCATCCTGCTGGTGGAGGTGGAGGTGGGAGTGGATGTGGGAATGCTGATGATGATGAGGGGTCACGTTGAGCCTCTGC